TTAGCAAACAACTGTGAACATGAAATTGTATCTGGTTCTTGCCTTTGTGGCATTCACAGGTAAATCAAATATGGCAAGAAGCTAAAAAACTATTTATCAATTAAAATAATATTAGATCTATGACAAGACTTGCACTGAATTTTCATTATTAATTTCATTTTAAATAACCATAACAAAAGAGCAATAAAAATTAAATGATTTTGAGTTTTTTTTTTTTTAAATATACTAAGGAACTACAAATATGCCAAAGTACTCATACTGCAATGTTTAGCTGTTTGAGCAAATTTGAAAAATGACTGTCAGACTTAAACTTAATTATTTGTATTTTTACCAGGCTGCCAAGCCAACCTGTTTTATGCTGATGAGCCTAAGCCACAGCTGGAGCAGCTGACAGATGCTTTCTGGAGTTATGTTGCCCAGGCCACACGCACCGCAGAGGACACGCTGAAAATGATCAGAGCGTCTCAGCTTGGTCAGGAAGTCAAGTAAGTAATGTTCAGACGTCACAGTCTATGTTTTAAATACTAAAATCTTGAATTGCATTAATGCAAATACACTTTTCACATCACAGTGCCAGGCTCACCCAGAGTGCTGATATGGCCAGCGAATATGCCGTCACCCTCAAGAAACAGATGGATCCTCTGGCTGAAGAGCTGATGACCAAAATCACCAAGGAGGCTGAAGTGTTGAGGGAGCGTCTGGGCCAGGACTTGATCAACGTAAGAGACAAACTGGAGCCCTATGCTGACAACCTCAAGAGCCAGATCCAGCAGAGAGTGGAGGAGCTCAGGACGGCCATGGCTCCATATGCTGACTCCCTGGATTCTGAGACCCTGAAGGCCACTCTGCTCCAGAAGAGTGAGGAGCTGAGAGGAAACCTGGAGCAGAGCGTGAAGGAGCTGCAGGCTCAGCTGGAGCCCTACACTGCTGAGATCAAGGAGAAAGTGGACCAGCGTCTGCAGGAGTTTCAGAAGACTGTGACCCCCCTGGCTGAGAATCTTCAGGCCCAGATCAGAGAGAAAGCCCAGATGGTCGAGCAGAGTCTCACACCCTATGCTGAAGACCTGAAGGAAAAGCTGGACCCCTACGCACAGGACCTGAAGGCCCAGCTCACCTCCCTGTACGAGTCCTTCGCCAAAAGAATTTAGATACTTCAAAGACTTCTTTAGTCACTAACAGAACTGTTTTTCCTTCCATTGTGACTCCAAAATCCCATATCTCTCCAATAACCATGTAATAAATCAAACTTCTAGGCAACAACAATATCTTTTTGGTATTACATGTAGACCAAACACTAATATAGAGAAAAAGAGTGATTCTTTTTTCTGAAATCCTGTTGTTTACACCTTAACCATTTATACAGATGCAGAAATGTTGCCCTTTTCTAACTGTTGTGTATTTATTTCAATTTAGCAAGTCTTTATATCGTCTGACAGGAAATGTTGTTTCTTGCAAATGCAAAGTGTATCATTTGTCTTATTTATGCAACAATAAAACATCTGCCATTTATTAACACAATGTTTCTAAATATTTTATGTGACTAGTTGTGTCGATCAGCACAAATGAATTGTCATATACTTCAAAATATTACATTTAATAGCCCTGAAAATGCACAAAGTCAAGACGACATACTTAAAAAAAAAATCACCAGACAAAATTGGTATGTTTTCATTTATATACAAATAGGGTTTATTTATATAACCATTCTAGAAAATAATAATTCAAGAGTGACTGTCCGGTTTGAAATATTCAAATGTGGGATTTGACACCATATCTAATACACAGACAGAAATATAATATTTCTAAAAGTCTAAAAAGAAAGTCTCAGAAATCATGCAGAAATGATAAAGGTAATCTCAACTGATTTCTTTTAACACATAATAAAGATTAGATAAGGTTAAAAACTTTCCAAAGGTACAGTCACTTCTGGCTGTACTAATGATAGATCATTCATTAACATAATGTCTGTACTTCATTATCAGTGCTGACGCAGGTGTACGCAGTAACTCATGGGCCTGGTGCTTTCAAGTGATGTCCAGACCTGCACATCTTGAGACAGAGTCTGTAGACACAAAGTATCCAGATATAATATGATATGATATGATGCCAACCCCTCAGAGGACCTCAGATGATGCCAACCCTGAAACAACATACAGAACTACCACATTTTGCTATTAGTTTTTTGATTGCATCATATATTAATTGCTGTTAATAGTGTTCATCGTCTGTTTGATTACGTCTTTAATTGATTATGTCTTTAATTGATTTTTCCGTACATTTCTGCCATATGTACATTAACTGACAGTCACCACTGATAAGCTACCACTAAATATTGTAGAAACTTAATTTGCTGTAAAGTTGCTTTGCAACGATTTATCGTGAAAAGCGCTATACAAATAAACTTGAATTGAATTGAATTGAATTGAATTGAATATAAACATCCACTGGAGATATTAAAATATATTCCCAATGCTAGAAATTCACTATTTATAAGTTCAAAATATGTTGTATGTAAAATATGATTGTTTAAATTAACCAGATGTGTTGTTATTTTACAGGCTAAGCCAGAAAACCATGAAGGCTCTTACGGTTCTTGCATTGGCTGTTTTTACAGGTTAGACATACAGTATAGCTGCTGAAATAACTTACTTTTTATAATAATATAATATAATATAATATAATATAATATAATATTTCAAACAGGATATTATATACGTTTAATTTACATTATAGTTCCTAGTGGATGAAACATAGTGTTCAAAAAGTTTAGACACATGAATTTGTTTCTTGTGATCTTAAAGGGGTCATATGATGTTGCTAAAATAACATTATTTTGTTTATTTGGTGTAATGAAATGTGTTTATGCGGTTTAAGGTTTCAAAAAACACATTACTTTCCACATACTGTCCATTATTGTATCTCCTCTGTGCCCCGCCTTTCTGAAACGCGTCGATTTTTACAAAGCTCATTGGTCTGAAAAGCGAGGTGTGCTCTGATTGGCCAGCTATGCGTTGTGCGTTGGTGTGCGTTGTGATTGGCCGAATACCTCAAGCGTTTGACGGAAATGTTACGCCCCTTACCATACTGTGATGCCGTGTCCGGCTGGAGCGACGAGACAAAAACATTAAAACACATTATAAACGAGGCATTTGTTGCATCCAGTGGGGACAAAATTACGCATTATAATGACTTATACTGTCTTTTTGCGCATTGTGTTGCATCGCGCCGCATAAACATAAAACCATGTTTGCATTTGTGATCGGAGAAATGACAAACAACAAGTGCTACACTACACTGCCCAAAAACTCACGTTTGAATCATCAGTGGCAAATTCTTTAAATATAAAAAAACGTACTTACAGTCTGTGAGTCAGAACAGCCGGCATTGTAGTCTACTCTTCCAGGATCAGGAAACAGTCCTCCATAAAATGCACTGCACACATCTGAATATTTGGGTTCAACTGTTCTGGAACAGTGTTGTAAATACAACTTAACCACTGATTTCTAGTCGTGTCCTCTTTTGGAAGGTCAAACAAAGTAATTTCGCTTTCACAACGAAACAGTGTCACACACCGCGGCCTTGAGTGAGCGGAGGCCGGCTTGAGTGAGCAGAGGTGGGCGGGCTTGAGAACGGCGTGGCCGGCGGATTCGACGAAAGAGCGTCCGGAGGGCTTGCGGCAACCACATGTGACGACCCCGTGCTGTACTCTGCTTGGTCCACGGTGAAAGCCGATCTGGCGATTGACAGTGTGAAGTTGATGTATTTCCTCAGCGTCCAGCACGGATCAGCTCCAGGCATGACGAAGCAGATATCGTCCTCTTTTGGAAGGCCAACCAAAGTAGTTTCGCTTTCACAGTGAAACACAGCACCTTCACGACATGGCGGCGGCGGCAACAACAATACTACAGCGAGAATAAAAGTTACGCCTTCTTTCTTTGCGTGAACATTTGGGCGGCATTATGCAAATCTTCCCACATCGTGACGTAGACATGTGGGGGCGTGTTAGAACGAGCCGTTTTAGATAGGCGTGGCTGACTCTTAACTTTTATAAAGAATAACTCTTTGGATTTGAGACTTTAGTCTTTGCAACTTTACAGATCTTCTTTATGCACCAAGAGCTTGTAACACTCCAAAGAGAAAGGAAAAATTTAAATCGCATCATATGACCCCTTTAAAACACGTTTAATTTAGACTTGTGTGTAGATGCTTGAAAATAGTTTTGTAGATAAATATTATGCACACATATTATGCCTATGTATGAATTCCTTGAAGGAAACATACAGGAACTCTTTCTACATTGTAGAATATAAAAAATATGAAATTACATATACAAATTATAAAAATACTGTTAAAAATATGATATTTCAGTGTTGCCTGACTTTATCTCCTCTATTAAAATTACTAAATGACTTTTAAATTTTCTGATATGCTATATTCCCAGGTTGGCAAGCCAATTTATCTAATGCAGAGAATCCAAATCCTCATCTTGAATATTTAATAAATGCATTCTGGAACTATATTGCCCAAGCAGCACATCCCACTGATAAAACATCCCATCTGAACTGGGACATAAAGTCAAGTAAGTACAATTTACCACCATTATTATTCTTAGCGTAATTAATTAGTAATATTTTCTGTTACTAGACATAAACTACCTTTCCCCTCCACACTAGACTAACACAGACACCTCCATCTGAAGAACAGATGACCAAAATCACCAAGGAGGCTGAAATGTTGAGGGAACGTTTGGAAAAGGACCTGAACACCATAAGAGACAAACTGGAGCCCTATGCTGACAACCTCAAGAGCCAGATCCAGCAGAGAGTGGAGGAGCTCAGGACGGCCATGGCTCCATATGCTGACTCCCTGGATTCTGAGACCCTGAAGATCAGTGAAGTGAAGACACTACCTTACTTTTTAGTCAGTTCAAATCCCAGCACTTTATACATAATGAAATTATGTAAAAGAGACACTGATAAATGTGTCTTTTACTTACAGACTAAAACTGAACACCATGAAGGTTCTTATGGTGTTTGCACTTGCTGTATTTACCGGTAAAAAAATCTGAGAAAATTAAAATATGAAATTGGTTTGATCATTTTGCAGAGCATAATAATACAATTTGATCATTCAGGTTGCCAGGCCAACCTATTCTATGCTGATGAGCCCAAGCCACAGCTGGAGCAGCTGACAGATGCTTTCTGGAGCTATGTTGCCAAAGCAACACAAACCACAGAGGAAACCGTCAAGATGATCAGGTCTTCCCAACTGGGACAGGAAGTCAAGTAAGTCAAGAACATTTACCTGCAGAACACAGTTATTTAGAATATTACTTGTGCCCTGAGATGAAACTCAAATGTTCTTCTTCATATCGCAGTACTAGGCTGACCCAGAGTGCCGATATGGCCAGCGATTATGCCGTCACCCTCAAGAAACAGGTGGATGCTCTGGCAGAAGAGCTGATGACCAAAATCACCAAGGAGGCTGAAGTGTTGAGGGAGCGTCTGGGCCAGGACTTGATCAACGTAAGAGACCAACTGGAACCCTATGCTGACAACCTCAAGAGCCAGATCCAGCAGAGAGTGGAGGAGCTCAGGACGGCCATGGCTCCATATGCTGACTCCCTGGATTCTGAGACCCTGAAGGCCACTCTGCTCCAGAAGAGTGAGGAGCTGAGAGGAAACCTGGAGCAGAGCGTGAAGGAGCTGCAGGCTCAGCTGGAGCCCTACACTGCTGAGATCAAGGAGAAAGTGGACCAGCATCTGCAGGAGTTTCAGAAGACCGTGACCCCCCTGACTGAGGACCTTCAGACCCAGATCAGAGAGAAAGCCCAGATGGTCGAGCAGAGTCTCACACCCTATGCCGAAGACCTCAAGGAAAAGCTGGACCCCTACGCACAGGACCTGCAGGCCCAGCTCACCTCCCTGTACGAGTCCTTCGTCAAGAGAAATTAGATGCTTCAAAGACCTCTGGTTGCAGGAGGTGTTGATTGTTGTGTGGAGAGATGTTCAGAGTGGGTGTGGGGTGTTAGACTGAGAGTTTCAAATCTACAGTAAAACTCATTCAGGTCTTCAGTAAGTTGTTGATTGGCCTCAGTGCTGGGGGATGGTGTCTTGTAGTTGGTGATGTCTTTCAGGCCTTTCCACACTGATGAAGGGTCATTGGCAGAAAACTGGTGTTCTAGCTTTTTAGCATAGTTCCTCTTGGCCACTCTAATCTCCTTATTCAGTGTGTTTCTGGCCTGATTGTGCAAGACTCTGTCCCCCTTTTGTAGGTGTCCTCTTTGGCCTGACGAAGATGATGAAGTTTTGCTGTAAACCATGGTTTATCATTGCTGAATGTTAAATGAGTCCTAGTAGGGATGCACATGTCTTCACAGAAACTGATATATGATGATACAGATTCCGTGAGCTCGTCCAGATCGTTGGTGGCAACTTCAAAAACACTCCAATCAGTGCAGTCGAAACAGGATTGTAATGTCTCTGTTTCGTTGGTCCATCACTTTACAGACTTTACTACAGGTTTAGCAGATTTAAGTTTATGCCTGTAAGTCGGTATAAGATGAACCAGGCAGTGGTCAGAGAGTCCTACAGCTGCTCTTGGGACCGAGCGATATGCATCCTTTATTGTGGCGTAACAATGGTCCAGTATATTACTGTCTCTGGTGGGACATGTAACATGTTGTCTGTATTTTGGCAGTTCACGGGAAAGATTTGCTTTATTAAAGTCCCCAAGAATGATTAAAACAGAGTCCGGGTGTTGTTGCTCTGTCTCTGTGATCTGATCAGCGAGTTTCTGTAAAGCTGAGCTCACGTGTGCTTGCGGAGGAATGTAAACACTCACGAGAATGAATGAGTGAAACTCCCGCGGCGAATAGAACGGCTTACAGTTAATGAAAAGCGTTTCTAGATCGGAACAGCACATCTTCTTTAACACTGTAACATCTGTACACCACCTTTCTTTGATGTAAAAACATGTCCCGCCGCCGCGCGATTTCCCTGTTGATTCTGCGTCGCGGCCTGCTCTAAACAGCTGAAAGCCGGGCAGTTGCAGCGCACTGTCTGGAATTTTATATTTAAATGTATTATTATTATTATATGCATTATTATAGTTTTTATATAATTTTAGTCAATATACTCTGACTGATATCTATTTTTCTTACAGGCCAAAACTGGAAATGATGAAGATTTTTCTGGTCATTGCATTGGTGGTGTGTACAGGTTAGACATACTACAAAAACAGATTGATCAAATATTATCACAGTGTTATTGAAAATATCTTGTCTTTATGTATTATATGCACACTATTCATATTATATGTTCTTGTGGATGGCAGAAAATATGCCATGCATTAAGCCGACATAAATATTTTTTTGTAAGGCATAATAATAAAACATTATATTACTTGAACATATATCTGCAGGTTGCCAAGCCAACCTATTCTATGCAGATGAGCCTAAGCCACAGCTGCAGCAACTGACTGATGCATTCAGGAGCTATTTTGAACGAGCCAAGATTAGAACTTCCCAACATGGGCAAGAAATCAAGTCAAGAAAATGTACATGCGGGAAACTGTAGTAGCCTAATAACTTCCTTCAGCATTTCTAATGCCATGAAATGACAATGATAGACTAACAGAAAATGTTGAGCCAGTACACCACAAACCTGAAGGAACAGATGGATCCTCTGGCTAAAGATCTGATGACCAAAATCACCAAAGGTGTTGACGTGCTGAGGAAGCGTATAGAGGAGGAAGTGAGCACTGTGAGGTGTGCACTGAAGCCCTACATTGAATATGTCACCAGTCCATTTGAGAAGGGTGTGGATTACATAAGAGAATCCCTGGATTTTGAGGACCTGAAGGCCACTGTGCTACAGAAGAGTGAGGAGCTGAGAGAGAGCCTGGAGCAGGGCGTGAAGGAGCTGCAGGCTAAGCTGGAGCCCCCTACCTGAGGGAAACACTGGATCCCTAAACCATTGAGCTAGCCCTACCAAGACCACCTAAATGACAACCTAAATATTCTGATAATTTGAGTTTTATTATTAACATGACTGTTTTTCTATAAAATAACATTTTGATTCCAAAATCAAAGATAGAACGGTCATGCTTTTCATCCAACACAAAGCACTCAAACAGGCCAAAATGTACAGGTTTCCTCTAAAAAAAATGTCACTGATGTTCTGTCAACAAGAACAAGAAGGCAAATATATATGTGTAAAACATCTAAATATTTTAATATAGCTTTTGAATTTATTTTTGAATCATCTACATTGACAGTTGCATTGATTATCCTTTAATTTTCCATTAATTTTATCAAAAATTGTATTTGTTTTAGAAAGTAATGACAATACGTTTTTAAAAGAGCTTTTCATTTTCCTTATGCTACCATGAAACACTATTGTTTTAACATAATGTCTTTGCTAAACTGTAGAAGATGTATATGACATGACAAAGTACATTAGACACTTTCACTAATGAACTTGATATATTTAGTAAAACTGTCAGGGTTTTGCCTGGTAGCTTTGTCTGTGTTGTCTTTGTTTAAATGTTTCTTTCTTTTTTTTTTTGTCTTGTGGCTGAAAACTTTGCTTTGTCTTTGTGTCTGCCATGTATTCCTTTGGTCCTCCTTGTTTCCCTTGGTCACACCATCTTGTTTAGCCCTTGTCTTGTTCTCGTTTCTCTAATTGTGCTCACCTGGCCATGTGTACTTTCCTCCCTCTATATTGTGCTGTTTTTTCCTCTTGTGCTTGCTGGTTCATCTTGTGTCATATAGAGACAGTTACTGGCTTGCTGCTCTATATTCCAGGCTTGCTCTGTTACTTGCTGTGATTGTGTATCCTTGTTGTAGTTTTTGCTCTTGGTTTCTCTTCTTTGTTTTTGGTATTTATCTTCAGTTATCTTATATTTACTTGTAATATCTTCTTTAGTTGTTCATCAGTCTTGTTTCTAGTCTTGTATTCTCATTATTGCTATGATTTTATACTTTGGTTATTTATAAGTCTAAACAAAGATATTTAATTTACTTTTTTAAATTAAATGTTCCCTTTTTTACATCATGCTGTTTCTCCTTGTGTTGTGCTGAGTAGTGTTGCTTTGTGGTCTTGAGTTGTGTCTTGTTTGGTCCTGTTGTGTGTTTGTGCTGTATGTTCCCTCCAGTACTGCTCTACCAGCCTGAGACTCCCTGCCTGTTGGTTCCCCAAGCCGGTCTGCCAAACCAAACCTGGTGCTGAGAACCTAATCTCTGATACTGGCCTGCTTTGAGTCCCTTTACTCTGATTGCACGCTCTGCTGTTCTCCGCTCTGGTCTTCTTCCCATCTTTCCACCCGGTTTGGCCAACAACTGAGACTGTTGTCCAGACTGTCTACCTCTTAGTGCATAGTTCTCTTCCTGCTGGTTGGAGTGGTCTCAAGATTGTCTACCCCTGTGCTTTGTGAACTTGTGTGTTTTCAATAAATATTTGATTCACTCACTCTGCATTTGGGTCCCTTCCCGCTGATCCTGATATTACGAACTAGCCATCACAGTACCCAGAAATATGAATATCTGAGTGGTTCCTCACTAAAGCTAAGCAGGCCAGAGCCTGGTCAGTACACTGGTGGGCAGGGCCACATTAAGACCACACTGGGCCCCAGGGCTATGACTTACTGCAGGGCCCCCATCACAATAATTATATATATCTAAAATAATGTTTTTTTTAAAAAATAATGTCTAAGTTAATACTTGTTCAAAACAATCACTTTAAAAAAGTTTGTACTATTTTCTGCTTATTTTGAAAAATAAAAGTATTCATTTTTTTCCAATAAATATGCTGTCATTAAAATGTGTTAATATAAAAAATATATTTTAAAATACAGAAACAAAATAATTTTAATAAGTAAAGATTCTGAGAGTATTGAAGGGGATCCAATAATAATTGAATATACAGTATATTTACTGTAGTAACCGCAAATTATATTTTATTATATGATATGATTAATATCATGGTTTTAAATATGATGGTTTCATTCTAAACATGGTGATTATCTCTAATATGGACACCCAACATAATATATGATATTTACCATCTGAATCTAACCATGTCGTCAACAAATGGAAAAGTCAGCCATCTATTAATTATCATGTTAATTACTGTGCGCCTTTAGCCAGAAGGGGCAAAAATACCATACTTTTACATATTCTTTCGTTATTTAAAAACTGTTGCTTTAATTATCTTAAACAAACCTGCAAATCATAAAGAAGACCTTTGTCTCAAAATATAAGCATTAATTTTAGTGAATCTCATTTGCTACTTAAATCTAGAACATTTAAAAAAACATAAAATATTAGATCAAGTAAGCACAGAATCAACTTTGCACTGCTGCGCGCGATCGCGTCAAAGATCAGACAAATATACACGTGCATCTTGAAAAGTGGATGTTTTGGAAAGTGCTACGCCACGTTTTTGTGCCATCTAGTGGTTTAGATGAAAATAATATCATACGCGCCTTTTACCCCGGGGCGCCTTTAGCCCCATTGTACCCTATATATATATATATATATATAAAGCTTTAAATAGGATTTTTATACCATATTAAAATTCTTGATGCGCTGAAATTTCACAATTTTTGTTACCAATTTAAATATCACAAACAATAATTCTAGCCTAAGTAAAAATAAGCTTACTGAAGACAAGTAAACAGTCACAAATTAGGCTACAACAGAACAAAGATCATAAAAAACGGCCTACTTGAAAATCTTAAAAAATTGAATAAAAAATATATTGTATAAAGAAAATGTGCAAATAGACTGAATAGTCTTCACTGTATAAATTCAATATACATTCATTCTTATTTATTTTACAAAAGTGATTCAGTCAAGGACAGTAAGTAATTTTCTTTCTGATGTTTGATTTACATTATTGACACAAATGGTAACAGCAGCTATATTAGGCTGCATTATAGTTCACCCAAAAATGAAAATTCTGTTGATGTTCTAAACCTGTATGAGATTCCTTAATGCTGTTGAACACAAAAGAATATATTTGGAACAATATTGGTAACCAAACAGTTGCTGGGCCCTCACTACTTCCATATATGAAAAAAAAAACACTATTGGTATCAGTTGGGACCAGAAACTGGTTACGATCATTCTTCAAAATATCTTCTTTTATGTTGAGGAGGAAAAGGACATTCATAGAGGTTTAGAACAATTTAAGGGTAAGTATATGATGACAGTATCTTCATTTTTGGGTGAATATCCTTTTAAGATCGCATCATATATCTGATCATATAGGATCTCATATAGCTTAACACATGCTTTATCTTTAACTATTAACATTCATCTAAGACACAAATAACTGTGTTTACGAGGATACTCGCAAAGACGGGCATTTTGACACGTAACTATGTGTATTTGACCGTTTAAGCACAAGGAGCGAAAATTTAGTCAGTAACACGAGCAGGTGCGCGCCGCGCGTATTAGGCAGAAACCGTTTTAACGCACGCATTTTCCCGAATGAATTCTGCCCCGCAGCGTAATGTCCATGAACAGTATAAACCATTTGTTTTCAAACCTGCTTAAAACGCCTTGAAATGATAAGCTTAGACTACATCATGACGCGCTTCAATCAGCGATTGATATATTTCTACCGGATTATCTCCCAACCCTTAAATGAATATAGTTTGTTCAAACACAAAAACAATATAAATCCAGTTAATAATCAAACTAACCTAAAATCTGTGTGGACGATGACACTGTCACTTGCTGTTCCAGCAACTTCCACTCCATCATCAGCTTTAGTAAAATAATCTGATAGCTGGGGAATTTACCAAGTCATGTTTTTCATGTTGTTTGTATTTGAAGTTTTTCGTTTTTTGAGCCCCTCTCTCTTTTACAATTGCTGACATTTTTACTTATTGGAATGTTGTTCTTTGCGCGACCATTTCCAGATTCCTCCAGAACAAAGTGAAGAGAGGTGAATGCAGACATACTGGGCAGCAATCACCTGATAGATACGTGCGCATATCGTTCAAAAGTCAAATATAGAATAAATGCATTTGAAACCAAATTCAGACTTTACGTTTCAATCTCAATTGGTAATGCACGGAATTTACGGAAAAGCTCAACTAAATAACAGCGCTAATAAGTGGGGGGCGTGGAAGCTTTGGCGATCGGCGCTCCAGTCAATCTACTCCACAGCCAATCACGGGCCCCCTCCTTGCTCGGGCCCCGGGGCTTCAGCCCCGCCTAGCCCAATGGTTAAAACGGCCCTGCTGGTGGGAGACCATTTGTGAAAATGTAGCTTGCTGCTGCAGCTAGTTTTAGTCCAGCCAGCAGGGGGTGATCATTCCCTGGCTTGAATGGGTGCAAAAGTCCTAGTGTAATGACTTGGACTTTAGACTGTGAAAAGGAGCATCCTGCAGATGAGGCATTAAACTGGCCTCCTCACATTCTGTTGTCATGAATTTACCACCTCAGTTACGAATTTGACTTTTGAACTCTTTTTGAAGCTGGTAGCACATTCTGATGGCTGGTAGGCCACTGTGAAAAACTAGCTTGCTGCTGGAGCTAGTTTTAGTCCGGCCAGCAGGGGGTGCTCATTGCCTGACTTGTATGGGTGCAAAAGTCTTAGTATAACGAATCGGACTTCAGAATGTAAAACGAAGCATTCTGTTGTCATTAAATTCCCCACCGTAATCATGAATTTGACCTCATTGTTTAAGCTGGTAGCACATCCTGATGGCCGCATTGAGCTTGACAGTATACGCTACCCCTCTATTAGAGCAGCTTTATTAAGGTGCAGGTTGAGAACGCAGCTGTGGCATGCAGTAGGCAGATTCTGGTTCCTTCACTAAAGTCAAGCAGGCCAGAGCCAGGTCAGTACACTGGTGGGAGACCATTTGTGAAAATGTAGCTTGCTGCTGAGTTCAGCCAGCAGGGGGTGATCATTCCCTGGCTTGAATGGGTGCAAAAGTCCTATCATTTTAGCCAAAGAAGATCCTTTACTAAACTAACGTAAAGAGTATCCCTGAAAATCAACTCTAATTTTTGTCAAAATGACAAAGTTAACGTCACCATGATAATGAAGTGTCTCATTACGCTTGTGCTCCCTTTTGCTTAAAAAATGTAAGTTACTTTAAAAAAAAGGGGGAAAAGTATTTTTAAAATGTTATGAAGGTCAGACATT